AGAGAGAAGGAGGAGAGAGAGAGAGAGAGAGAGATGAGAGAGAGAAAGAGGAGGAGAAAGAGGAAAGAAGAGAGAAAAGAGAGAGAGAAGCAGAGAGAGAGAGAGAGAGATGAGAGAAAGAAAGAAGAGAGATGAGATAGAGAGGAGAGAGAGAGAGAGAGGAGAGAGAGAAGAGAGAGAGAGAGAGAGAGAGGAGAGAGAGAGGAGAGAGAGAGAGAGAGAGAGAGAGAGAGAAGCGAGAAGAGAGAGAGAGAGCACAACAGAGAGAGAGAGAGAAAGAAAGAAAGAGAGAGAGAGAGCGAGAGCGAGAGAGGAGAGAGAGCAAACAGAGAGAGAGAGAGAAAGAAAGAAAGAGAGAGAGAGAGAGCACGACAGAGAGAGAGAAAGAGAGAAAGAAAGAAAGAGAGAGAGAATGACAGAGGAGAGAGAGTGAGAAAGAGAGAGAAAGAGAGAGTGAGAAAGAGATAGACAGACAGATAGAGAGAGAAAATTAAGAGAATGAAAGAGAACAAGAGAGAAAAGACAAGAACAGAAAATTAGAAAGAGAGAAGAAGGGAAAAACATGAATAAAGAAGGAGACAAAGAGAAAAACAGAGATAAAGAAGGAGACAAAGAGAAAAACAGAGATAAAGAAGGAGACAAAGAGAAAAACAGAGATAAAGAACGAAGAAGAGAGAGAAAGAGAGAGAAATAAAAAGAAAAGAGAGAGAAAGAGAACAAGAAAAGCTAAGAAAACCAAAGAAAACAAAAAACAAATAAAAAAGTCCTTATAACATGGCAGTGATTTAGAGACAAAAACTTAACCTAAAAAAAATTGACTTAGAGAAAAAATTATAATTTCTTTTTAAATTAATTTGAGATTAATTAATCCCTTAAATCAATTAATCTAAAAATTGACTTAGAGAAAAAATTATAAAAAAAGTTTAATTAATTTGAGATTAATTAATCCCTTAAATTAATTAATCCATTAAATCAATTAATCTGTTTAATCAATTAATCTGTTAAATCAATTCATTAATGGATTAATTAATTTAAGAGATCATTTAATTAAAATTAATCTCTTATATTAATTAATCCATTTAATTAATCAATCTGTTCAATCAATTAATCTATTTAATTAATTAATCTCTTAAATTAATTAATCCATTCAAATATCAAATCTGTTTAACTAATTAATCTGTTTAATTAATCCTTTTAATTAATCCTTTTAATTAATCCTTTTAATTAATCTATGAGTCACATTGAGTCACGTAGAATATATGAAACAAGGAATTAATAAATTAATTAATTAATTAAGCATAGGTTAATTAATTAATTAAGCTTAGGTTATCAATTTTTCTGTATATATATTAAATAAAAAAAATGATTTTATTTCTTTCAATAAAGGTTTTAAAACAATTTTTTTTGGAGATTATGAGAAAAAAAATATATGGATGAATATTTCTTATTATTGAATTTGAAAAAAAGTTGAATTGATAATAATAATAATAATAATAATAATAATAATAATAATAATAAAAATAATAATAAAAAAATGATCATAATGATGAGAATAGTAATAAAGAAAAAATGATAATGATAATAATAGAAATAATTAAAATGTTTATCATAACTAAGTGATAATGGTGTAAATAAATATAATAAATATAATATAATAATAACAATTTTCAATAACAATAAACAGTAAATATATGAATATACAGAAAAAGAGAGAGAGAAAAAAATGAAATAATTATATCCTATAATTGTCATGACATGAAATTAATTATCAAAAAAAAAAAAAAAAAAAAAAAAAAAAAAAACAATAATAATGATGATAATGATAATAAAGTAATAATAACAAAGATGATAATAATACTAATAATTTCAAGAAAATAGTAATAAATAATATAACAAACATAGAGACAATAATGACAATAAAACAGTAACAATAATGTAATATCAATGATAATAATGATAATAATAATTATTATCACTAATTTACCTTTTTTCATGTTATTTATCTATATATATGTATAAAAAAATAATAAATATTGATAATGATAATAATAATAACAATAATTCATGTCATTTATTTATATTTATTTTTATTTAACTACAAAAAAACCTTGATAATAATAATAATAATAATAATTCATGTCATTTATTCATATTTTTATTTAACTACAAAAAAAACCTTGATAATAATAATTATAATAATTCATGTCACATATGTAACTTTTTCTGCGTCATTTACTTAATTATATATTTTTGAAAATTATCAAAAATATTATATATTTTTGAAAATTATCAAAAATATTATATATTTTTGAAAATTATCTAACCCCGAAATCCTCTATCGAAAGGATTTGGTTGAGCGTTGTATTCAGGAGGTGGGGTTCTGAACGTTCCACTTCCTCCTCCACCTCCTCTTCCACCTCCTCTCCTCCTCCACCTCCTCCTCTTCCCTCGTAGCCATAGTCGTAGTCATCTCTTCCACCTCCTCCTCCTCCACCTCCTCTTCCCTCGTAGCCGTAGTCGTAGTCATCTCTTCCACCTCCACCATAGGTCCCTCCTCCACCTCCTCCGTATGTATATGTTCCGTCTCCACCTCCTCCTCCACCTCCTCCACCTCCTCCGTATGTATATGTTCCGTCTCCACCTCCTCCACCTCCATACGTGAACGTCCCTTCTCCACCTCCTCCTCCACCTCCTCCTCTTTCCTCTTCGTAGTCGTAAGAATATTCGTAATTGTCTCTTTCTTGATCATATGTCTCGTCCACTTCGTTCCTTCCACCGGCAAAGCTCACCGTACCACCTCCACTTGCTCCAGTTCCACCTCCACTTGCTCCACCTCGTCCTCCGAAGCTGAAACGGCCTTCTCCACCTACGACACTGACGCTTCCACTGGCGCCTCCACTTGCTCCACCTCGTCCTCCGAAGCTACCCCCTCCTCCTCCTTCTCCTCCACCTGCTCCACCTCGTCCTCCGAAGCTGAAACGGCCTTCTCCTTCTCCTCCACCTGCTCCACCTCGTCCTCCAAAACCACCTCGTCCTCCAAAGCCTACTCCGTCTCTTACACCTCCTCCACCTGATGCTCCACCTCGTCCTCCGAAGCTGCCTCCACCTCCTGCTCCTCCACCTCGTCCTCCAAATCCTCCACCTGCTCCTCCACTTCCTCCTCCAAAACCTCCACCTGCTCCTCCACTTCCTCCTCCAAAACCTCCACCTGCTCCTCCACTTCCTCCTCCAAATCCTCCACCTTCCTCCACTTCCTCCTCCAAAACCTCCACCTGCTCCTCCACTTCCTCCTCCAAATCCGCCACCTCTCCTCCTGCACCACCTGCTCCTCCAAAACCTCCACCTGCTCCTCCTGCCCCACCTCCTCCTCCACGCCTCTTCCTCAAACAGACATTACACCTGCTCACCCTTGACTTGAGGTCCCCAGCCTTGAGCGTCTGCTGGACCGGCTTCCGGAACTGGTCCTCGAGGTCGATAGTCGCCAGCCAGTAGGAGAAGGCCGAGGGGAACAGGTTACATCGCCCTTGACCTGTGCACTCGAGGAACGGGCTCGGCCGGAAGTCCTCGAGGCAGGAGCCCGGACTCAGGAGTGACTGGCCAGACCCCTCGGCGCCGGAGTCCGTGTGCTGTTGGGGGGGGGGAAAGGGGGGGAAGAGGGGAAGGGGGGGGAGATTAGGTGAATAGTATAATAGTATAATAGTATAATAGTATAATAGTATAAAGAGTATAATAGTATAATATAATAGTATAAGAGTATAATATAAATATAATATAATATATATATAGTATAATATAATAGTATAAGAGTATATATAATATAATATAATATAATATAGTATAATATAATAGTATAATAGTATAATAGTATAATAGTGTAAGAGTATAAGAGTATAATAGTATAACAGTATAATAGTATAATAGTATAATAGTATAAGAGATGAATAGTATAATGTCACATGATAATAATACAATATAATATAGTATAATGTCACATGATAATAATATAATAATATAATATAATATAATAATATAATAATATAATAATATAATATAATATAATAAATAATAATATATAATAAATAATAATATAATAATATAATATAATAATAATATGATAGTAATATACTATGGTAAAGTATACTATATTTGGTGTCGTTAATGATAATATGATAATAATATACTATGGTAAAGTATACTATATTTGGTGTCGTTAATGATAATATGATAATAATATACTATGGTAAAGTATACTATATTTGGTGTCGTTAATGATAATATGATAATAATATACTATGGTAAAGTATACTAAATTTGGTGTCGTTAATAATAATATGATAATAATATACTATGGTAAAGTATACTATATTTGGAAAGTATACTATATATGATAATATGATAATAATATGATGTCATATCATATAATGTCACATGATAACATAATAATAATATACTATGGTAAAGTATACTATATTTGGCGTCATTAATAATAATATGATAATAATATGATGTAACATACTATAGTTTGATCTGTTGATAATAATATGATATAGTCTACTATTTTTTGAGGTTGCTAATAATAATATGATAGTAATATAATGTTAATAATGTGATATACTATAGTTGCAGTTGTTAATAATAATATTATTTAGTATATTATAGTTGGATTTTTAATAATGATATGATATAGTCTACTATAGTTGGGGTAGTTAATAATAATATAATTATTAATATAATGATAATATAATGTGATATACTATAGTTGCAGTCGTTAATAACAATAATATTTAATATACTATAATTGGATTTTTAATAATGATATGATATAGTCTACTATAGTTGGTGTCGTTAATAATAATATGATTATTAATATAATGATAATATAACATGATATACTATAGTTGCAGTCGTTAATAATAATATTATTTAGTATACTATAGTTGGATTTTTAATAATGATATGATATAGTCTACTATAGTTGGTGTCATTATTAATATGATATAGTCTACTATTTTTTGAGGTTGTTAATAATATATTAGTAATATAATGTTAATAATGTGATATACTATAGTTGCAGTTGTTAATAACAATAAAATTTAGTATACTATAGTTGGATTTTTAATAATGATATGATATAGTCTACTATAGTTGGTGTCATTATTAATATGATAAAGTATACTATAATTAGGGTCATTAATAGTGATATGACAGTAATATAATGATAATAAAACATGATATACTATAGTTGCAGTCGTTAATAATAATATAATTTAGTATACTATAGTTGGATTTTTAATAATGATATGATATAGTCTACTATAGTTGGGGTCGTTAATAATAATATGATTATTAATATAATGATAATATAACATGATATACTATAGTTGGAGTTGTTAATAACAATAATATTTAGTATACTATAGTTGGATTTTTAATAATGATATGATAAAGTATACTATAATTGGGGTCGTTAATAATAATATGATGTTAATAATGTGATATACTATAGTTGCAGTTGTTAATAACAATAAAATTGAGTATACTATAGTTTTAATAATGATATATAGTCTACTATAGTTGGGTAGTTAATAATAATATAATTATTAATATAATATAATATAACATGATATACTATAGTTGCAGTCGTTAATAATAATATTATTTAGTATACTATAGTTGGATTTTTAATAATGATATGATATAGTCTACTATAATTGGGGTAGTTAATAATAATTATTAATATTAATATAATGATAATATAACATGATATACATAGTGTTGCAGTTTTAATAACAATAAAATTTAGTATATTATAGTTGGATTTTTAATAATGATATATAGTCTACTATAGTTGGGGTAGTTAATAATAATATAATTATTAATATAATGATAATATAATGTGATATACTATAGTTGCAGTCGTTAATAACAATAATATTTAATATACTATAATTGGATTTTTAATAATGATATGATATAGTCTACTATAGTTGGTGTCGTTAATAATAATATGATTATTAATATAATGATAATATAACATGATATACTATAGTTGCAGTCGTTAATAATAATAATATTTAGTATACTATAGTTGGATTTTTAATATAATGATATATATAGTCTACTATAATTGGGGTCGTTAATAATAATATGATAGTAATATAATGTTAATAATGTGATATACTATGTAGTTGTAGTCGTTAATAATAATATATAATTTAGTATACTATAGTTGGATTTTTAATAATGATATGATATAGTCTACTATAGTTGGGTCATGTCATTATTAATATGATAAAATATACTATAGTTACAGTCATTAATAATAATATGATTATCAATATAATGATAATATAACATGATATACTATAGTTGCAGTCGTTAATAATAATATTATTTAGTATACTATAGTTGGATTTTTAATAATGATATGATATAGTCTACTATAGTTAGGGTCGTTAATAATGATATGTAATATAATGATAATATAATATGGTATACTATATAGTTGGAGTCGTTAATAATAATAATATGAAAGAGTATACTATAGTTAGAGTTGCTCTTGATAAGGAAAAATATACTATAGCTGGAGTTGTTTGATAATAATATAGTATAATAATAATAATATTCAGTATGCATCTCTCTCTCTCTCTCTCTCTCTCTCTCTCTCTCTCTCTCTCTCTCTCTCTCTCCCCCTCCTTCCATAATATTCAGTATGCATCTCTCTCTCTCTCTCTCTCTCTCTCTCTCTCTCTCTCTCTCTTCTCTCTCCTCCCTCCTTCCATAATATTCAGTATGCATCTCTCTCTGTCTCTCTCTTCTCTCTCTCTCTCTCTCTCTCTTCTCTCTCTCTCTCTCTCTCTCTCTCTCTCTCTCTCTCTCTCTCTCTCTCTCTCTCCCTCCTTCCTCACTTTCTCTCCTTCCTTCTGTTGCTCTCTCCCTTTCCATCCCTCTAATTCCATCCCTTCCCTCCTTCCCTACCTCCCTCACCTTCCCTCCCTCTCTCCCTCCTTCCCTCCAATCCGAACTCACCAAAAAAAGGAATAGCTAGTCCTCTCTCTCTCTCCTTCTTCACCTCACTTTCCCTCCCTGCTCCCTCTCTCCCTCCTTCCATCCCTCCTTGCTCCCTCCTTCCCTCCTTCTCCTCCCATCCCTCCCTCCCTCCCTTTCTCCCTCCCTCACCTTCCCTCCCCTCCTTCCTCCATCCATCCCCCCTCCTCACCGCCCTCCCCTCCTTCTTTCCCTCCATCCATCCCTCCTTCCCACCTTCCCTCCAATCCGAACTCACCAAAATAAAGGAATAGCTAGTCCTTCCTTCTCTCTCTCTTTTCTTCACCTCACTTTCCCTCACTTTCCCTCCCTCACTTTCCCTCCCTTGCTCCCTCTCTCCTCCTTCCATCCCTCCCTTGCTCCCTCCTCCCCTCCTTCTCCTCCCATCCTCCCTCCTTCCCACCTTCCCTCCAATCCGAACTCACCAAAATAAAGGATTAGCTAATCCTCTCTCTCTCTCTCTCTCTCTCTCTCTCTCTCTCTCTCTCTCTCCTCTCGCCTTTATCTATCTGTCAATCTTTCTGTCTGTTTCTCTCTCTCTCTCTCTCTCCCTCTCTCTCTCTCTCTCTCTCTCTCTCTCTCTCTCTCTCTCTCTCTCTTCTCTCTCTCTCTCTCTCTCTCTCTCTCTCTCTCTCTCCTCTCTTCTCTCCTCTTCTCCTTCTTCACCTCACCTTCCCTCCTTCCCTCCCTCACTTTCCCTCCCTTGCTCCCTATCTCCCTCCTTCCATCCGTCCTTGCTCCCTGCTTCCCCTCCTTCTCCTCCCATCCCTCCCTCCCTCACCTTCCTCCAATCCGAACTCACCAAAATCCCTCCCTCACTTTCCCTCCCTTGCTCCCTCTCTCCCTCCTTCCATCCGTCCTTGCTCCCTGCTTCCCCTCCTTCTCCTCCCATCCCTCCCTCCCTCACCTTCCCTCCAATCCGAACTCACCAAAATCCCTCCCTCACTTTCCCTCCCTTGCTCCCTCTCTCCCTCCTTCCCTCCCTCCCTTGCTCCCTCCTTCCCTACTTCTCCCCATCCCTCCTCCCTCCCTTCCCTCCAATCCGAACTCACCATGATAAAGAATAGCCAATCCACAGCGAATCCCACCCGACGGGGCAGTCCGGAACCTCCAGGGTCTGTGAGTGGATGGCGATGGTGAGGGAAGGCACCTCAACACACGACGCACCTGTGA